TCCTTCCTCGTTGCTTTTTCTTCTTCCCCGAGAAAAAGCTCTCCCTATGCCCGATCGAGCTGGATCTAAGCTAATATGTTTGATCATCGGCCCTTAGTCGAGTACCTATTCGTCCACGGTCCTAACGTGACTTGAACCTACTGACTTACCTTGAACCGTCAAGCCCGGATCACGCTTCAGCGCTGTCATCTGCCCGGGTCTCCCTGGGTTCTGTAGTAACAACTACTTCCTTCGAACCCTGTTCACTCCCGCTCGCTTTGTCCTACACTTTCTTCCTATGTACCGAAAATGCGACCCTTTATAGATGACGCAAAGCGGCGGGTGGACCGTAGGCTCAGTGCAAGCAGGCAGTCCATATCGAATAGCCGCATGTTCGCCAGTGTTCTTCCCGAACGTTTAAGAGAAGATGATGACTCGCAGGTGGATTTCAGTGCTCCCCCGGGCGGTATGGGGCCTCGAGAAGGTCATATGCAGTACATGCACCAGTCTATATTCGGCATGATTGCTGCGGTGGGCTCGAGATCTGGCTTTCATGCGCGGTTCGACGAATCGAGTGATAGTGAAGGAGAGGACGAGAACCGTGTCCGCAAAGACGCCGAGAACTTGTCTGCTACCGCTGGTGCACTGCCAATTAGGAGCGGGAATGAATCGCCGCGATTATCTCCCAAGCCGCAGAGCCCGACTCCGGAGCGCGGTCGTCGCCATCGACGAACAATATCCGATAACAAGTTATTGCGCCCGTTCAAGATCAACTCAAGACAGAACAAAGGTCAGGAACCGGCTGTACAGTCCGAGCCCCCGACGGGTGATGAAATGTCTCGAGCCTCTACTCCCAAACGACCTCGCAGTGCTACTCCTAGGGCAGCCCCTGTCCTCAGTCGCATGGTAGAAGCACGGGCTCTGCTGGATACAGAGGACTCGACTAAAGGCGCTCCGTCTACTACGGAAGAGAATCGTGACGAAAGTGGGAAGCAGTCATCCGCATCAGCACTTTCATTACGGCTCAAGGAGATGTTCGGTTTTGAGACGCCGGAAAAGGTGCTTGTTGAGTACGCATGCTCCTTTTTGCAAAGCATGCTCTTGCAGGGATACATGTATGTCACAGAAGGGCACATCTGCTTCTACGCCTACCTCCCTCGGAAGTCCACCGTCGCCATCAAGTCCGGATACGTCTACAAACGTGGCCGGAAGAATCCCAAGTACAATCGGTATTGGTTTTCATTGAAAGGGGATGTTCTCTCATACTATGCAGACCCGTCAAAACTCTACTTTCCCAGTGGCCATGTAGATCTCCGTTACGGGATTTCGGCCTCTTTAGCTGAGCCAAAAGACAAAGGCCGAGAAGTTAAAGACTTCCAGGTCACCACCGACCAGCGAACATACTACTTCAGAGCCGATAGCTCCTCGAGCGCCAAAGAGTGGGTCAAGGCTCTGCAGAAGGTCATATTTCGCACCCACAACGACAAGGGCAGCGTCAAGATCTCCTTCCCCATTGAGAGTGTCATCGATATCGAAGAGAGCCCCATGGTAGACTTTGCGGAAACTTTCAAGATCCGCGTGGTTGAGAGTGAGGAGACCTACGCCATTGATGAGGTACGTGCCCAACTTTTGGCATTCCATGCTCACTGCTGACTATACTGCAGTACTATTTCACGTTTTTCAATGACGGCCAGGATGCATTCAACTTTCTAAGAGGTCTCGTTGCTGACACGCCTATGAAGCGGTCGCAACTGACCCTATCACCACAGCCTGAGCAGACGTCTCGCTCTCGCCGTACTCGGGCCTCCCAGAATAGGTGGTCGATCACCAGCGGGACAAGTCAATCTCGGGGCATTGGAAAATCTGGCAATCGACGACGAAGCGCAAGCACGGGGCAGTTCAGTTTCGGGCAGGATGCCTTGAGCATGTCTCCACCTATGAGACAGCAGGACTCGTCTCTGTCCTTCGGAAACTCCTTTGAGCAGGCAACTGAGGCATCTGGTATTCTGCAGTCCATGACAGATACCACCGAATCTGCCAGCCAAATATTGAACCGAAGCGATGTTTTTCAGTCGCCTACGATTCGTACAATGAGACGAGGCCCTTCGGCCGCCGAGAAGACTGCTCGTCGGCACTCGGATGAGACAGCGCGGTCGGTGCATACGACCAGGAATGGTCCTGAGATACAGTACGCCGTGAGCGAGTCTGACCGTGATACTCAGACTCCTACTGGACTTCACCCTTCCACTTCGGCGCTGAATGAGCTTGCTCGGGCCGGGGTGTATCCTTTGCAGCGCGCAGCAGGATTCGCCGAGTACTTGAAGACACGATCGAAGCAGATGAGTAACTTGCTGGCGAGTGAATCTATGGGCTATCTCGAGAAGGTTTCTGGGATGTGGGCCGGTGGCGGCAAGCATTACGGAGAATCCGAGAATATACTCGCGGATGACCAGGCTGTCGATCCCGAAGACCTCGAGGCTGGTTGCAAAGACGGTGACCGATTCCGTGAACACTTTGCCCTTCCACCAAGTGAGAAGTTGCAGGCATCGTACTTTGCGTGGCTACATCGGATGATCCCACTGTACGGCAAGATCTATATTAGCCAGAAAAAGCTGTGCTTTCGCAGTCTCATGCCCGGGACTCGTACGAAGATGATCCTTCCGCTCAAGGATGTGGAAAATGTGGACAAGGAAAAAGGGTTCAACTTTGGCCGCCATGGGCTTGTTGTCGTCATTCGCGGCCACGAAGAGTTATTTTTCGAGTTTGGCACAGCTGAGATCCGAGACGATTGCGCTGTCACGCTGCACAAAGGTCTTGAGTCTACGAAGTTTTTGATGGCGTCCGGATTACTTGCAGAGTGTGAGGAGAAGGATGAGTCTGAATCGGCCAGAGCAGAACATCGCTTACTACAAGAGGCCAGGCTGGATATCACCGGTATGCACAGTTCCCGCTCGGCGATAACTGAATCCAACGAATTGCATCCCATCTTTGATGACCCTCGCGCCTCTATCATCAACTTCAAGCCTACCGAATCTTTGAGGATTACGTGTCTTACAATAGGCTCCCGTGGCGATGTGCAACCGTACATTGCCTTGTGTAAAGGTCTTCTTGCCGAAGGGCATAGGCCCAAGATTGCAACTCACGCGGAGTTTGAACCTTGGGTGAGAAAGCATGGCATTGACTTTGCGCTAGTCGATGGAGACCCGGCGGAACTTATGCGGATTTGTGTAGAGAACGGAATGTTCACCTACTCATTCTTCAAAGAGGCAACAGCGAAGTTCCGGGGCTGGATTGACGATTTGCTGTCCTCTGCGTGGAAAGCTTGCCAGGACACCGATCTCCTCATTGAATCCCCAAGCGCGATGGCTGGGATTCACATCGCTGAGGCACTTCGGATTCCGTACTTCCGCGCCTTTACAATGCCTTGGTCAAGAACCCGGGCATATCCCCATGCATTTGCGGTCCCTGAGCACAAGATGGGCGGCGCTTACAACTACATCACCTACGTCATGTTTGACAACGTCTTCTGGAAGTCGGTTGCAGGTCAGGTGAACCGCTGGCGGAAGAAAGAGCTGGGCTTGAAGGCCACCGGTCTGGATAAGATGCAGCCGAATAAGGTCCCATTCCTTTACAACTACTCGCCCACTGTGGTGCCGCCACCGTTGGATTATCCAGACTGGATTCGCATAACCGGGTACTGGTTTCTTAGTGAGGGTTCTGACTGGACCCCTCCAGCGGAACTGGTTGACTTTATCCAACGTGCTCGCAAGGATGACAAGAAGGTTGTTTATATTGGGTTCGGGTCAATTGTTGTGTCCGATCCTTCCGCTCTCACACGCACCGTCATCGAATCTGTCCAGAAGGCCGATGTCCGCTGCATCCTGTCCAAGGGCTGGTCTGATCGTCTAGGAGACCCGGCTAGTGCCAAGTCAGAGGTCCCTCTGCCGCCGGAAATCATCCAGATTCAATCGGCACCCCATGACTGGCTCTTCTCGCAGATCGATGCCGCCGCGCACCATGGCGGCGCTGGGACTACTGGGGCAAGTCTGCGTGCCGGTGTTCCTACCATTGTCAAGCCATTCTTCGGCGACCAGTTCTTCTTCGGAACGCGAGTTGAAGACTTGGGCGTCGGTATTTGTTTGAAGAAGCTGAACGTGACGATGTTCTCTCGGGCTTTGTGGGAGGCTACCCATGACGAGCGTATGATCGTCAAAGCCCACAAATTAGGAGCGCAAATCCGAAGCGTAAGTCGTATGTAATCTAATCATGTTGCCCTGCTAATGATTGAACAGGAGGATGGGGTGGATACGGCTATCCAAGCGATCTACCGGGATCTAGAGTACGCCAAAACCCTGGCTCAAGCGCGCTCCAATTTGTCCTCGACGCCGTTCTCGCCCACACCTTCGGCGAAGACGGTGGCAGAACATGAAGCGGACGAGGACGTACCCGAGGAGGAGTGGACGATTGTCGAGGACGATACCGAGTTGGACATGAGGCCGACTGCGGTCTGATGTGGATAATTGATTGCGGATTGACGGACTCGAAGCGAAGCATGAACTGCTAACCGACGAGATTTTCCGTCGTATGACTTACGAATTGTGGCATTTGCTCTGTTCGATGATACATGGTTTTAATATTGCTTTCGATTCGGCTTCCCCACTCTGGGATTACATGGGTCTGGTTTGAGAAACATATGCTGCGATTGATGATTTACGAGATGCACAGCTGCTGGCATGAGCTAATATATTTCTACTTGCTTTTGAGCTAGTGTTTGGATGAGCGTGCGAGGGTCTCCATGTTTATTTTCGGCGGTTATAGATCATATAATGGCACGGCGCATTGCAGATATCTATGATGGATCTACCGTTGTTGACAGTAACTATCATCATGTAGACTTTTATTTTCAATGCCTGCTTTTGACACTAAATACATACAAAAGGGTAGTCGGAGACAGAACCAGAAACAACACAAAAACAGTACATTAAAAGTATCATATCATATCTCTCTAATAAAAAATGATATCAAGCCGCCTTCTCCGCTTCCTCATCACCCTTACCTTCAGCCTTTTCTTTCCGTCTCTGCACCACATCCCAATTATAGACTCTTGCCGTCGCAACCTCCAGCGTCTACACAAACACAAACCATTAGCCCTGAACCCCAAACAAAAAACACCAAAAGTGAAATAGAATGGAATAGAACATACCGTAATCTGCTCCCTCAAAAACTCCAAATCCTCCTCACAATTGCCCAGACTCTTCTGCGCCGCCGCCAACTTCTCATCCAACATGCTCTCAGCCTCCTCAATCGGGTACGCAAGCATAACATTCGCTCCGAGCCAGAGATACACTTCCTCCGTGTCGGCGGGGGAGACCGTGGCGCGAGCGTACAATGTATCGTTCAATTCGAAGTTGGTTTCGAGTGCCGAGGCACTTTCATTTTCTCTTCTGAGTTTCAGGAATCGCACCATCTCCAATGTCTTCTTGATGTCGGGGATCTTGTCGCGTAGACCTTGGGCCCGGCGCTGCGTGTTGACTTCCATGAATTGGTACTTCGAGATCATCTCTTGGAAGGATCGTAGCGTCGGTTCCACTTCGCTTCGCGAGGATACGTAGTCTGCTACATTGTCGACGAAGGGCGCGGCGGGGATCCCGCGCGGGTTGGTGGGGGGCGTTACTCTGGTTTGATGGTTCCCGGGGAGGGGGAGGGTTAGTGGTGGTTCTCTTGGGGGGTGGGTGGTTGTGGTTTGGGGATATTTGGGCTGGGATGGTGGAGAGGGGAGGGGTTGTTGTGAAGAAGGTGGTGGTGTGGTATACGAAGGGAGGAAATGGGATACTCACGAGGAAGTCTTCTTGTCTGCCATGGTGACAGACAGGTCGGAGTATATAAGATAGAAAGAGGGGGAGGGCGGAAGGTAAAGAGATGCACTGCAGGCCGCGGAGGAGAGAGAGCGAGAGGAATAATGATAATGATGGAGTGGGGGAGTTGATTGCCTGTTTGGGAATGGTGTCATCTGCGGCGATCTTCAGCATTATCAACATACTATCTACAAGCTACAATCTATAACTATTCTTCCTTTCTCTTACCTACACAACTACACAAACAGAATGTTATAGAAACATACATCTACGCAATGGTCCTCCTAACAACAACACCCTCCATCCTCTCCGCCATCGAGGCCCTCCCTCCTACCTCGCGACATGACTTCTCCGTCCCCGATACCTTGAACCTAGAGGACCCGATCTCCCACGACCAATTGATCAAGATAGCTCGATACTTCCGACAAAAACCTATCACAGACTCTTCATCTTCTATTGATAGAAGCAGAACCTTGAACTCCCTCCTCCGCGGAACAAAAGTCTATGTTCCTCCTCCGCCCAAGAAACCCGAGCCGGTAAGCACCTATCCCCAACACATCCCCCAACAGTATACACAAACAAGACTAACTAACCTGACATACAAAGTCACCCGAATACCTCGCCCTCAAAGCACGCCTCCTCGCCGCCGCCGAAACAGACGCCTACAACCGCATGACCTCATCCTCATCCTCCTTCACCTCATCCGGTTTCTTCCCTCCAACCTCCAGAACCCCAGCATCAACAAAACCCTCAATCTTCACCTCCTCCACACCCACCCTCGAAGCACTGCACAACAAACATAACCCCAACAATGATGATGATAATGACACAGACCCCCTCACTCCCGGCCTCGTGCTCAATATCTTCCTCTCCGTCCTGATCACCGGGTTCAGCGTGTACTGGGCGCTGCGGAGTTTCCGGTCCCCGGAGATGCTGGTATCTACTGTGGCGAGGGTGTGGAGGGGCAAGGGGACAGGACAGGGGGTGTCGGAGTCGGTGAAGGTGTTGGTGTCGTTGGGGGCGGCGGTGGTGGTGGGTGTGGCGGAGGTGATGATTTATGCGATTTATTTGAGGAAGGTGGAGGTTGCGAGGGGGAGGGAGAGGAGGGTGAAGGAGAGGAAGGTGGTTGTGGGGAGTGAGAGGGTTGGTGGGGGGAAGAGTAGGGAGGGTGGTGAGGGTGGAGATAAGGAAGAGGTTATTTGGGGGAGAGGGGTGAATGGGGGGTTGAGGAGGAGAGTGAGGGAGAAGTGGGAGGAGAAGGAGAAGGATATGGATGTGGATAAGAATAAGCAGAGGGATAAGAGTGAGTGAGGAGCGTATACTGTTAGGGTTGATGTGGTGTATCATATTCTATGTAGTATATATTACTGTATAATGGATTAAAGATAGACATATGCACTATGGCTGGTAAGATTGTATCAATAAGAATCTGTGCTAACTACTGCTCTGAAGCAATATCAACATCTTGCTCAAGCTCAGCAACTCTCTCCATAGCATCACCTCCCATATTCCCGGAGAACTCTCTGAACATCAAATTAGCCTCGCAGTATTTTGGATCCTCGAAAGTCGTATTGAGCCACTTCAGCATATCCTCCCAAGCCTTGGGCATAACACACTCGTTAATCAGCGGCTCGCCAGACGAATAGCAGTTGCACCCATGATGCTCGGGAGCAGGGACAGGCAGCCCGAGATCCTGCTCAGACAGGATATACCCACGGCAACGCGAGGAGACGAAGCTCACAAACGATGAGGGGTCCTTTGAATCTTTACCATCCTTGTCCCCGAAGTCAACGCCAATCCGGTGAAATGGACTGGTGAGACAGATTGCTGATATATATGGACGCCATGCCTCCCCTGTCATTTATTAGCCAGATACCAGACAAACCAATTACCAATAAACCTTGAAGCACGAAAAGTAGACATACAGGTACTCCCCAAATACCGAATAACACCCAACCCCCCATCATCCAACCCAACCACCCCAATCTTCGCATCAGCCCTAACCAGCCGACCCCGAGCAGCCAAGATCTCCTCAAACACATACTGAATATGTTCCTGCCAGTCGCCATTCCCAGGGATCTTGTTCCGACGAGTCATAACAAGCGGAGGATCTACCGCCGACTTTCGAGGAACGCAATGCCAGGACGTCAGTGTCATCGCTTGACCGGAGCCACAGTGCCACACCAACTGCCCCGTGTTTGCCAGGACAAGTGCCGTATCTTTCTGATCCAGAACAGCCCGCGCAAATTGAACAGCCGACCCGACCTCGATGCCATCGCTGCTGAGAGTCCGGTAAGCCCAGATGCCAAGGTCCTGAATAGGCTCTCCGAAGACAACGATGACGCGGGAGGCAGTGGACAGGTTCTTGGAGATGAGGATGGGCACATGCGCATCGGTAGGTCGGGCTGTAAGTGGAAGTCGTAGAGTGATGAGACCGAGGCTGCGAAGACGAGAGAGGACGATGTTGCGAATGCATGCTATCATATAGAGTAATTAGTTATACAACGATGAGCGGTGCTTAGAATGCATACTGTTCATGGCCTCTCGCTGCATCTCATTCCAGCGGGCGTTCCTGTTGATCTTGAATTGGAACTCTTCTTTTGGCGCGGAGATCTTTCGGATCTGGTCATCTTTCGTGATGAAGTACCTGGCTTTCGTTAGTAAATCGACTGGTTTCTATCTAAGTCCTCTCTTACCCCAGTTTCTCCAGGTCCGCGGGAAAGACAGGTTCCGCAGGGAGGTCCTTTCGGCTGAAGACGAACATCGTGGCGAGTGTAATTCGACGATGATGAGAGAACGAGCGTGAGTAAAAGGGAGTGGATTCAACAAGAGAGAGAGAGAGAGAGAGATGAGATATGGAGACAGACAACAGATCTAGAATAAAAGCAACGGCAAGAGCAAACAGAAGAACCAAAAAGAAACTGCAACTTCCCCCAGCCAATGCCAGTGAATTTCAAGTGAAGCCAAGTGCAGGCGTTTGTCAATGCATAGCTTAGTAGTACTTCATGTAACATCCGCCCTTCACTGCGCAGACCAATCGACAAGATCCGATGGTGTCACATCCAGCCATGGATGATGCCGAACAAAATCCCCGAAAATAGCCACACCACTGCAACTCCTCCTCTGGAAGTACTGTAGATCATAAACCATCTCAACTGAGCACAAAACCCAAGTCGACGAAAAGGCATGTCTTATTCCTCCTCATCATCTAAAAAAACCTAATATACAAGTCCTCTGACCAACAAGGAAACGGAGGAAAGTTGAAAACAAACGCCTTTCAGGAGGAACCCGCCGAACCCAATGAAAGCTATCACAAATATATGTATTCTTTTCGCATAAAATTCCCATACTATTTTACCAACTGGCCTTCTTCACACCGGGGAGTTCACCGGCCAGCGCCTGCTGACGGAATTGGTACTGTACACACCAAACATTAGTATTTACCCAGTCAATTATGTAATTACTAGGGATAGACTTACTCTACCAAGTCTAAACGCCCGAATAACACTGCGAGGAACACCACCCGCCACACAGCGGTTCTTGATCTGCGTCGAGCGAGTGTAGGCGTGCATGGAAGCGAGCTGGAGCTGAGCCTGGGCGCGCACACGCTGGGGGAGGGAAGTGTTGTGGATCACGTAGCGGAGAGCTTGACTATTATCCAGAAGATAGCAATTAGTAGCTGTTGAGCTGGTTTCATTGACCTTTAGGGTATGGGTTGGAATTACCGTTCCGGCTCGAATTGCTCGAAAACCTTCCGCTTGGTGTGGTCGCGGACAACACGGGGGTTGATGAACCCGCCGAGGTCGAGGATCTTGGACCGGAAGTGCGACATATTGGCTGAGCGAAAGTGGGTTTCCTGAAGCTGATTTGGCTTGAATGCGATTTGGGGATGGATTTGATGGCCGGAGGTTTTGGCCGGAGCGGCGAAAGTCACGGGAGTTCGGGATGCGGATTGCCTGTTTGGGTTAGGGGCATCTGTCTCTTTTCATCCGGATGGGAGGAGAATTTTGTTGGATTTACGGAGTATGAGGGTACTTTCGTGATGCAATAATTGAATGATTTATATTATGATGTGCTATATATGATGAATCAATTAATGGATCGTATGCTTAATTCTGGCGAGGTTGCGGAAAGTATCATTGGTATCTTGTGCCTTGACCGTGCAACGTACGTGCACTATCAAAATCTAGGCCTACTTCGAAGCTCTGTACGTACTGGCCTAGAGGCAGAATGGACGGTAGAAGATATAGTATACTTTACATTGTAGCAGTAAAGCTGAGTCTGTAATTGCACGCCATAAGCATAGCGACTCGTCATGACCATTTCCAATGGCCATCCTGAGCTAGCAGACCAACATATACTTCAAATACTCTACGTGCACACTAAGACCTGCAGCACACCACACTACGGCTATGCAACTAATCCAAGCTCCCATCGTGGCCATATCCACCAGGAGCCTACATACCAGTCTTCCAGCGATACCCACCGGCTCCGCACACCTCCGAGCGGAACACCACCAGCATCAAGCGGAGAAATAGGTATACAACATATCAATTGGCAAATGTCGTATGACGGTATCTTCTATAAGCTTATACACAGTAAATGCCCGCAAACTTGACTGACCGACGAACCCGCAGCAACCGGGGCTCTCAAACCACCCACACCAGCCACGCATTCATCCGCCATATCCGCGTGCTCGGAAATTCACCCAGAGCTAATTTAATGCTTCTGGTTCTTGAGGTTGGGGTTGCGGGGGTCGTTCTTGAACTCGGCGGCTAAGGTGTAACAACCGAGGTTAGCATGCACGATTCGGATCGAGAGAACAAGGGATTCGAAGTTGGATTCAAGCGGACGCTTGATAACGTGCTGATATTGGAGAATGTCGTAACAGGTTCACTTACTCGACATCATGACGTTGGCGAAAGAGTTGACACCGTAGAGGATGACCAGACCTGTAATTCGAAATACCGTTAGAAAGCCGCTATTACCCCTCTCTCTCAACGCGCTCCAATGGAGCTATTCCATCATATCCGCATAGCTATCCAGGATAGACATAGCCATTCAACAAGGTAATAGGTGTGCATGCATACCGGCGGCGAAGAAGGGAGCCATGGGCTTGGCTAAATGAGCAAAGCAAGTCAGTTCATATCCTCATCTCTCGAACCCAACATGGGCGCGCCAGGACCACGGCAAACGTACCAACGGGGGTGGGGAACTTCTTTCCGAGGAGAGACATGGTGGGCAGATCGTTTGATTGAAAGCGAAGTGCTGGGTATGGAGGAAAGACGGGAGTTGGAGCAGCTGGTGAAGGAGCGACGAGGACGAGAGCGGGTACAACGAGGTTTGTCCGGGAGTCCGAATCCCCGGCCGCTTTAACGCTTCGGGAAGGATTTGCCGCGCCGCTTTTACTGCGGCGTCTATCACTGGTTGCCCCTCCGCAGTAAACAATCAACAATCACGATAACGATTAATCAAGACAATACACAACACGCTTTTTTTTCCCAGCAGATACCTTATTTTCCTTTCAACATAATCGCAATGGCAGACCACCTCCAAGCTTCTGTCTCTTCCCTAGGATCCTCCCTCCAACTCCTCGATTCCTCCATCTCCACCCTCGACTCCGGTATTAGCGACTTTCCCCGACTATGCAAGGTCTTGCAAACAACCCGAGTACGTACCCCATACCCTCCTGCTTAATATAAAAACACCCAATCTAACCCCAACAGCACTTCGAACTCCTTCCCGAACCTACTCTGCGCGAAGCTCAACAATCCCTCCTTGATGAAATCACTCCCAGCATCGCCCACCTGCTCTCACTAGCGTCGAACCATGTGGAGAAGCTCTCACGGCGAGAACAAGGCTTGAGAGCTAAATGTGAGCTGCAAGAGGGAAGAATGTACTCGAATGAGAGCCGTCAGCCTTCGAGAATGCGTAGCGCTTATGGCGATCGACTCCAGAGCGGGGGCGCCTCAGGGAAGGCTGCGAAGGCGGCGGAGTTGAAACGACTGATGCAGAAGAAGGAACGGTTGCAATATGCGGTGGAGAGGTTGGAGTTGCAGAGTACACAGAGGGAGAGGCAGTTGAGGAAGAGTATGGCGTTTCACTAGAGCTCGGCTTGATGGATGAAAGTGATGCTTGCTGAGAGCTCTTCGACTAAGATGGGATCGTTTGAGCCACCTCGGGCAATCCTGCGAATGTAGGATATCAGATGACTGAGGATATGGCTAAGGAAGATATGGCTTGTGGCTACGATGTTATTTCTCAGAGTCAAGAGGGGGTGCATCTCGTCAGGGAGAGTATAGCCCCGATTCGGGATGTGCGGCCGCATATCCACTTATGGCCGTGTCGAGTTATGACTATGCTCTACAGGTCGACACTGCATAATGAAAGTGCAGATCCGCTGTGAATAGGACCACCCGCGCGAAGCTATAGCCATCGCGCTCTCACCACTATGAGCGGAAGATGCCAGAGTTGGAGGACAATGCTGGGAAAATTGAGTGTCTACGTGGAACGCTCAACCATAGAAGTCCCTGGGGCACTTGCAGAGGGATCTATAGAGCTGCCCCTCCCGCTACGCATAATGACCATGCACAAGATGAATAATGGAGTTTGTGCCATTGAGTGAAGAAGTCTTTTACAACAGCTATGGTCTATACTACATGTCATATATCGTACAGGAATATAATACAATGACCTTCCCCAACCCACAAATGATGCTCCTAGCCAAGAAGCAATCCAAACCCTTCATACGCCACTTTTGACTCCAATGTAGATACCCGAAAAAGTAACAAGCTAGCCCAGACCCAGTGATAGTTTAGGCCGAAGGCTTCACCTGCTTCAAAGCCTGTCTGCGCTTCTTCTTCATCTGCTGCTTCTCCCAACTGGGTATCTTCTGGCCCTTCTTCTTAATCGGGGTCTGAAGATCAGGCATACTGCTGGTAGCCTCCATACCTTCCTCCAAAGCATCCTCTGCGTCTTCCTCCATCTCCTCCTTCTCAGCAGCCCGCCGGGCAAGTCGTTCCTTCCTACTCTCACCGTGCTTTTCGCCGAGTCTCAGCGATCTGGCAACACGTGTCTTCGCGCCAAGAGCCCATAGGTCTCCCCACTGGGACTTGCGCGCATCCTTGTACGCTTGCCGACTGAATGATCGGGGGACGGTCCAGCGCTCGATCTTGCCGGCCGGCGTGCAAAGGTCGAAGATGACGTGACCGCGGCGCTTCATGGGTTGGTAGACAATACGGGGCAGGGAAAGGAAGTTGACGCCCCCTGTTTCCTGTTCCTCTGTAGGAGGTGTAGGTTGAGTCTCGGATGCGACAGCCTCGTCGGATGATGCTTCGTCTTCTTGCTTAGGCATCTCGACTGCGTCTTCGTATCCGTTAAACGCTGCATCTGCGGCCTCGGTGCCCTGGATGATGCTGTCCTCAACACGACGATCGACACCGCGCTGGACGGCGATGTAACTGAATTTCAGGTCCTCATGATTGCGGTCCTTGGCGCCGATGATGCGCTGGAGGAAGGCCGGACGGATGTAGCGTTGCTGGAAGTGGCAGTAATCTCTACGGCCCTTGGTATGACCGGGGATCTGGTACATGGGGCACTTGTTGTGGTTGGTGCAAGGGGCGACGATCATGCCGGCTTCTTTCTCGATGAACGTGTCTTCTTCGGGCGATTCGGTCAAGTTTTCGTATGTGGTGGATCCGGGGCTGGAAATGAATCGCTTCAAGAGCATGTCACGCGCTCCGGCAACGGCTTCGAAGCCCTTCTGGTGTCCCTTCTCTAAGAGGATCAGAACACCTCCGTTGGGATTCAGGAGGTTCCATAGATTCTGTACATGTTCCTTCCGGAGGAACTCTTCCTCAATTCCGAGCAGGGAGTGTGGGGCGATGATGATGTCGTACTGTTTCCGCTTGGGCGGAGCCCGTTCATCTTGCAAGGTTGGCTTCTCGCGAACATGGACGTAGTCGGGTAGTCGTGGCAGAAAGCTGGTATCTTCGAGCATCGCGCTGGCACGGAGACGAAGAGAGTCGGAGCCAGTGACAACGGTCGACCGGCCCACGGGATAGGGGTCCTCTGAGCTGTGCTCTGGCGTCATGGCTTCCCACTCCGCACGAAGGATATCTCTCCACGCCAAAACACCTGCACCACCGGCACTAACATCAAGGACATGGGGGCCCCCTTCTTGTGTCATCAGGTTCCGGATCCAGTCCGTACCCAAGCGTTTCCGGACTTCCACCAAAACACTCAGGACAGATGCATACATGCCAGGGTAGAGAGTGGCAAGAAAGACATTGGCTTCCATTTCGCTCATGTACCGCTGGGATGCTTCTAGAGGAATCGGCTGTTGAGGAGCTTGCAAGCGCAGGGGAGGGGTTGTGGTGGAATAAGGAAGGTATTGGCCGCCGAGTGTGCGGTGGGCGGTATCCGCAATGTGCTTGTTCGAAAAGTCGGACAGAATGACAGAAATAGGGCCCGTCACGCTATCCTTGGGTATGAATATAGTGCTAGGATCGGTGGAAAACTTCCCCATAGTGGTCAAAGGATGGAATTTGGGAGCTGAGTCTGCTGCTGCTTCCTCTTCGAACTGCTCGAGCATGATCTCTCCGCCCAACTGCTCGGCGACTTCTCTCGTCCGTTGCATCGCGATCGTTTCCTCGACTGACGGCGGAGCTTCCATATCATAGACCAACGGAGGTTCGTCGTGTGTGGCAGACTCATCTATCGCAACTTCTTCCCAGCCGCCCTCACCATCTTCACGGTATAGTTTATCCGGATCTATCTCTTCTTCCACTAGGTCCAACTCAGACTCTTGTGAAAGATAGATTGGTTCGCCGTACAACCGAGTATACAGCTGGGTCTCTCTATCATTTAAGAGACCCTCCGGAAGGTATTCACCAAACTCCTGTCTTGCCTCTCGCACCCGCGCATCCAATGTTTCTTCGTCGCGGTGACCGATCGTCTGACTCAACGCATAATCGAAATCGAGACCTTCGAGGTTAAGGGCTTTCTCGTGATCGTCCAAAAGATCCAGCTCGTGCATAAGCTCAGCCATCTCCAGGTCCGTTTCGTTGATCTTGTCGACTAAGGCGTAAATAGCATCTTTCTTCTCCGCATCGGGGTCGGTCTCCGTCGCTGTCGTGGACGACGCATGCCTCCGGCCGTGCAGCCATTGTTGAGTACGAGCGTAGGTAGCTTCCCTGAGTAGGGATTCCAAGTGTAAGGTCGATGGGGATGTTTTGCGGGCAATCGAAGTTCTGGGGCGCCCAGCTATGAAGCTTGCAGCTCCGCGGCGGAGAGGCTGTGAACCGGTCTGCGGCGACCTGGATACGGCCGGACGTAATAGGACATGGGGATTGGACCGGGTCGCCCTGACTGCCGGAGATCGTGACAACATCCTCAACCCTTCCACGGCTCGAGATGCAAATATCAGGAGCTTGTACCTGAAAGAAATTGTCTTGCCACTGGAGAGCTTTTGCCAGGAAAACTCGCGCCAAGCCGCATGCCCATCAGAAATTCCGCAGCTCCTATTGGCTGTTCAAGTAACAGAGCGTTACATAATCATCTAGACCGAATTGGTGCCTCAGGAATCACCAGGAATGGAGGTGCATGCATCAAAGATCAAAAGGTGGGAGGAAATGTTGGATGCAAAATAATAGACCTATTTACAAAGCTGGTTATACTAGCTGGACGTACTACTGAGACTCGCTGTCCGTATCTTCGTTGCCCATGAGCACCTTGAGAGCTGATATCCACTTCAGCACTTCGTGCTCAAGAGCGGTTAGTTTGGCCATCACGGCCATAAGGCTAGGGTCCTGGCTCTCTACGCGGATCTTCTCCCTCACCTTGACTTCATCTCCTTTCCAGGTGAAGACATCGCCTGCCTCGTCGTGAGGACGATGGCGGCTTCCAAACAACCGGTCCCGCAGATTGAACCCGGTGAGAGAGATGTCAGTCGCGAATGCAGTTGGCGTATGGACAGGGGTGTTAGATTCTAGTGTCCTCAAATACAGGACTAAAGCCGAGTCCGCAATGGATAGATGAAATGAAAAGTATGCCGGTAGCGGGGGGTCAAACATCTACGACTACAGCTTAGCCCATGATCTAGAACGAAGAAAGCAAAAGTATAGCCACTTACCTCCTCTTGCGCACTTGTCTCCCACCACTTGCCTCTAACCTTATCGCTTTCGCCCTTCAGCATCTGCCGTGCTTCACTGATCGTCTCGCGCAGGAGGTGCAGTTGGCTGTAGATGAAGCCCGCGTTGAGCGGGTCACCGGTCCAGGTGCTTACATCGACAATGTCGAGACTTTGATTGACCAAGTTTTTGACTGATACTAATTGACTTAAAACGAGCTCGGGTGTTGTAGGGGTGTTTGCCAGGCACAAGCGGGTAGTGGCTGAGCCCCGTGAGGCAAGGGAGCTAAGACGGAGTTGGATGTCCTATAGAGAGGTTTGATTAGCGCCATCCTGGAAGCGCTACGTTGTGATAAGCAACGGCCATAGCGCGCAAAGGATGCGGGTCCATATCCTTGGGCTGCATCATAAAGCAATAAATGTGAGTGGTGACAACATACGCCCTTCACGATCTTTGTCCCAACCCGAGTCACAAAGCCTTTCACATTTTCAGAGCGTAGAGAAGAGAGGACTAGTGTTGATCCCGGCTCTTTGGGTGCCAATAGAGCCGCGCATTCATGGAGGCCCTCCCGTAGCGAGGTAAGGGAGTCTTGCAGCGAACGTAATAGCCATTCTAGCTCTTTGGCCTATACAGTTGCCAAAAAAGTTAGTACCGTCCTTGCCCTATCGATGATGCATGTGCGCCATCGGGTCGGCTCAAAATTGAGGTTCACCGGGGACGGAGAAATAAAACAGGGCATACCAACGCGGAGTCGACTTCCTGTTCTAGGCGCTCTGGGGGTAGAGGCGGGTAAGCCCAAGTAGCCATTATGAGCAATGACCCAGCGGGTTAGTTGCGACCCTCGGGAGATCGGATGATTGTACCTTTGGCCCGACAGTGGTCAATGGATCGGTAGGGAGCGATGGGGGGTATGGGGGTGTGGACAGGACACGGTAGGCAGCAGGGTTTGTCTTCAGGGTCTGGTGACGAAGTCGACAGAAGAAAAAATCCGCATTGGCTTTCGAGTGATCCACGTCGACCCGAGAGGAGGAAAGGCGGGTACCCAACTCAATGGATGGATGGTGGGTGGTGCAACGTTTGTTCAGAGGACGAAAGTTGCAGTGGAAGAGGGAGTTCGACAACGTCATGGATAAGGAATGATGGGCCTCAGCGCCCAGGCCTTCAGGCAGCCTTATCCCGATATAGACTAGCGCAGCGCTAAGGTTTAGACTAGCCGAGGACAGTTAGCGGGGCCTGCTGCAACCATGACGTCGACGCCGTCATGGCTGGCCAGTTTGTGCCTCGTCGATCCAAAGAAAACATTGATTCGCAGTTACGCTCATTGTTGATGGTCACCCTCATCATTATATCACTACTATGGCTCCCCTGGTACTTTATTTCCCCCCCTCCTCCCACATTCCTCCACCGGCTTCTCCGGATATCCACTCCCTCGCAGACAGACCCTTTCGATCCTTCGTCTGTTCTTGTTTCTCTTCCCCATCTATAGGGTCTCTCATCTCTCTCTCGAATGATAGATAGATACCCGTCGCAATCAATAACTTAGCTGGTGCTGGGACTCTTCCAATCACCGACTCAATAGCGAATTCAGAAATCTTGACAAAATACCGTTACAATGGCTCTCAGCAGTGAGTACATCCCCTGCAGGATGAGTGCCTGCTGCGTCGCACAACGACTAAATTGACACCAATTGTACTGTAGGAGTTGCAATGGGCTTCCTAGGCCTGTTCTTCACGGCCGGTGCTCTTCTGTTGATGTTCCTGACTTTGTTGGGCGGAGCGAGAAATTCGCGCCCTCTGAACGAAATCTTCTTCCTGCAGGTCGACACAAGCAATATTCCAGGTGCCCCGTCCTTATCTCGCTGGACTTTCTGGGAGATATGTGCAGTGTCGGCGAATGGAAAGAACCAATGCGGATCGTCTTACCCAGACTTCCCATTTGATCCCCCGAGCCGGCGCAACTTTGGCACCACTGAGAACATTCCCTCTGCTTTCATCGGGTAAGAAAGAGATCAATTGCCAGATTTTCCGTCGTACGATCGCAATCTAACATTCCGCAGAACGAACCACTACTTCCTCACATCTCGGTTCTCGTTCCCCTTCCTCATCATCGCGCTCTTCTTCGGCGTGGTGTCGCTGTTCACTGGGTTCCTGGCCATGTGCACGCGCATCGGAAGCTATATCTCTTCGCTGATGGCTTGGATCGCTTTGGTTTTCCAGATCATCACGACTTGCCTTATCACGTAAGTTTACCACAGAGTCTAAAACAGAGCTTTACTAACAATCTCAAGTGCCGTCTACGTCCAAGGACGCAACAAGTTCAACGCCAATGGCCAGAGCGCCAGCGTGGGTGTCAAGGCTTTCGCTTTCATGTGGACTGCTGTGGCTTGCCTGCTGCTTGCATGCATGTTCTATTGCATGGGTGGTGCTGTCGGGCGCAAGGAGAGGGGATACAGTGGCCGTGAGCACCGTCGCCGGGGCTTCTTCTCGTCCGCACGCTCCAACAGCGTAAGAAGCAACAAGGAGACTGCGCCATAAATTCGACATGGTCTTCTTTCTTTGATATAATTCAGAAAGAATTGAAAGAAAATGGGCTATAGTACTTCGTCAATACCTACTATAGTACGCCGGCCTCCGCCAATTGTTTACCTATCGGCCGCAAGCCTTATACTCGCACCGTCAACACCGAAGGGTGCGTCTACTGGAGTATGGATCTGATTGTTTATGACTTGTTCTTTGCGGGTTGAGTAGCCACGCTCTCCTGTGCGAGCGAATCAAGTGGGCTCATCCGCGCATGCTAACATTAATGTCTCTTTGATGATGGATGTCTGTCTGTTTAACTCGGCCAAGTTTCATGTATTATACTGTCTCTGCTACTTTATATCTATCCGCCCTTAATTGTAATACAATTTATCTGAAAAGAATGAACTGATACACGAAGAGTAACAGAACATGACACTGTTCGTAAAGATTCCATCATTTTCAATATAGTAGTCACTGAGAAATCAACTGTATGCATAATGTATAAGAATAGCTGATGATACTTCCTAAGCTCAATGCTGTGAAACGGATGGATTATGACACCACTTGTCTCTTGTTACTATTCTACTTATATTCTATCAAGATTATAACTGTGTGCTTGCGCTGTGCTACCTTCTTAGGGTCATAAGGAGGTGGAAGAATGTGCCCTACAGAAGCAGATAGTGAAATCCTACGGCACAACTTTAGACCCATACATTGTTACTTTCTGAATATGTTAGGAAAATGAGTCTGGAAACACATCGGCTTTCTATTGTGCTTCAAAACAGCTCTATATACTTTTAGAAGCCTTCATCGATACATCATCATCAATAAGTCATAGCAAGACAGAATGCAGAACGTATTCCCTGAGTCCTGCCCGGTGCACCCAATGAATGCAAAGTTAGTTGCAAAGAGGCCACAGGGGTCACGGGAGTCGTTAACAAATGGTTATAAAAATCTAGATCGATTCATAGAAGGAAAAGCATCGTTATAGTCTTGAGATGTTCAAAGATATATGAGCAAGAAAATTATACGTTAAAGGAAAATCTAGGCCTTGGGAGCCTCAACGGCACCGCGGACGGCACCTTGGCCGCCAACTTCCTTGGCCGTGATCTGCAGACCAAGGTCAGCGTTGACGTGGATCATCAGCTCAACCTTGCTGCCAGCCTTGACGCCCTTGACGGCCAGCTCAGCAATGGGCTTCTCAGTCTTCCAGACGAGCTCGCGGATCTCCTCCTCTTCCTCCTCATCGGAGTCGAAGTCAGAGTCATCCTCATCCTCTTCGGTCTTGGTCTTCTCCTCCTTGGGCTTGGGCTCGGGCTTGGTAACCTTGATCTCACGAACACCCTCGCAGACACGGACGAAGACATCGCCGCCCTCCTTGGGGACAGAGAACTGCGCAGTACGACGAGCGGGGAGAGCAGTCTCGGTGTTCAGGAGAGGCTTGAAGTCAACGGTCTCGCCAGAGGTGAACTCGACACCGATGGCATTCTGAAGGTGAGGGGTAGCGGTAACCATGGGGTGGATGGACTGCTCGATGTCCTCCTTGTCGAACTCCTGGATCAGGGAGGCCTGGATAGCGGCACCTCTGGGAGCGAGCTCGGAGGGGTTGATGGCACCAATGAAGGTGGAGGGAGCGAGGATGGTGGTCTTCTCGGGGAAGATGTTGCGGGCCAACTGGGCGATCTTGGGGGTGTGGGAAGTACCACCAGCGAAGATAACCTGTAAAAGTTAATATCGGGCTGCGAGCAGGATGAACAACAAAGATTTAGATGGAACGAACCTCATCAATGTCCAGGACATCGAGACCAGCCTTCTTGACAACCTGCTCGATCAGGCCGGTGAACTGAGCGAACACCTTGCCGGAGAGCAGCTCGTAGCGGGTACGGTTGACGGTAGAGCCGTAGTCAATGCCGTCAGCCAGAGACTCGATGCTCAGAGTAGCGTTGGTACCGAGACTGAGAGCCTTTCTGGTGGCCTCACCCTCCAGCTTCAGCTTGGCCAGACCACGAGCGTTCTCGCGGGGGTCGGTCTTGTGCTTCTTCATGAACTCCTTAGCGAAGTGGTCGATGATGATCTTGTCCAACTGAGCACCGCCCAGCTCGTAGTCGTGAGCAGTAGCAAGAGTGGTGTACATGCCACCACGGCAAGCAACGACGGCGGCATCGGAGCGAGTGCCACCAAGGTCGGCGACAACGACCAGCTTGTCGGTCACGACAGCCTCGGGACGAGCGTCGTAGGCAAGGACAGCAGCAACGGGCTCGTGGATGAGCTGCAGGACCTCAAGGCCAGCAGCGTTGGCAGCGGCGATCAAAGCCTCACGCTGAGCATCCTTGAAGTCGGTGGGGACGGTGATAACAGCGGCGTTGACCTCCTTTCCAAGGAAATCAGCGGCAGACTGCTTCAGACGGCGGAGATGGCGGGTTGTGATCTCGGAGACGGTGACAGTGTTGGGGGTCTCGCTGGAGGTATCGCAGATGGAGAAAGCAACGGTCGAGTCGCTCTGTTGAGGGTGGGCCGAGTTGTGGCAGGGAGTGGGGTCTATCGACTTGAAGCTGTGCATGTCCGTCAGCATGTGCGCCTAGTTGTCATCGGAACGAGTTGACATACTCCTTGCCAAGGAAATCTCTGAAGTAGGCAACGGTGTTCTTGGAGTTGCGGATAAGCTGGGCCTTAGCCTG